GAGCTCGGAGTCAATTTAGCCCATGATAAGTTGATGACCTTTGGATCGTCCCCCAGGGTTGCTTGTCGCCTCGGGGGGCAGCTCGACAAATTGGCGGGTCAGGTCGGGACCCACATGGTGACCTCAGGGTGCGACCTCGCCCCTGGGGGCGAACGGAGTAAGAAAGGCCACCTGAACAAAAGACGATGCAGGATAAAGGACATGATCAAGAGACACAGGACCTTGTGTAAGTATAGGAAGGCCCTCCCCAGGGAGCGTTTCAGGATTGGGAAAATCTACACGGCGGGGGTCAAACCTGGTTTAAGCTTCGGGGACACCGTGGTCGGGATGAGCGACGCGGAACTTAAGCGAGCGCGTAGTGTGATGTTGTCGTTCCAGGCTCCCAGGCATGCTGGGGTTTCGTTGAGAGCCAAGACGGCGCTCCTAGGTGACCCCATGTGGAGGAGCATGATCGCCCCTGCGCTGGCGTGGTCACATGCGGTCTGGATGGCCACCACGCGCCCCGAGCACGCCTTCTTCTCGATTCAGGAGCTGTGCAGTATGTGGCGGACCGTCCCGCCCGCAGGCCACAACTGGGCTAAAAGCAAAGGCCCGATCAGTCGAATGCACCTCTCCCTGCAGCGCATCGGGTGGGAAGCCTTCACCCCCCTCGACTGGCGCGATGATAGTGGCGTGGAGATATCCCTGCTGTACACCACCCCGTCCATGATGGGGCACTGGCTCTCTTTAGGGGTTCAGAGGCACCGCGAGCGCGTCCTGGGGGAAAAGCTCGGGTGGACCCCTGGGACCAGAGTGTGTGTCGAACCAATCCGACGCATTACGAGGTCTGGGATAAAAGGTATCGGTCTCAACGCCCAGGGTAAATACTTAGTGATGGCGTGTTTTTGTGAAGGGCTCTGGACCGATGACAGGGCTTTTCGGTCAGGATACATCACACCAGGCCTCTGCCCCCTGTGTCAAGAGCCCGACTCAGTAGGCCACAGGATCTTCAGATGCCAGCACGAGGAAGTCGTCGCGGCAAGGCAGGCCGCCGACGTCTCCACGGCCTTTATCGAGCGTGCTCAGTGCGGGGACACGCAGTTTTTCGAGGCCCTCAAGTTTCAGCACCCAGCGGCCGAGTGGCCGAACCTTTCGGATGTGCACGAGCCTGAGCTGTTCGACATGAATGGGCAAAAAGTGGAGTGGGAGCAGTTTGATGGGTCCGCCTTTTTCCAAGCAGGAGATGGGTCGTGCGCCAGGCACACCATCAGAGAACTCTCGAGGGCGGCGTACTCGTGGGTTTTCTTTGACGCGGAGGGTGTGCAGAGGTATGTTGCAAAAGGAGTTGTGTGGCCGAGCCTACCCCAAACCAGCCAAGCGGCAGAACAGCTCCAGCTCGCTTTGTTACCTATATATGTGCCAAATCATGGGCCGACGTTGTACAGCGACTGCATGAATGCCGTCAATCTGCATAACATGGAACCGTCATGTCAAGTGTCGGCCAAGCAACGTTATGGAGGGTTGAGAAGGGGGGCCTTGCTCCACATGAAGAATCAAGAGTATGCCCCAGCTGTTCACACCCCAGCCCATAGGAAGTTAGAAGACATCGAGCAACTGCCACCACCTGAGCGGTGGATCGGCCAGGCTAACTGGCGAGCGGATCGGGAAGCGAAAGGAGCCCTTGACCTCCATCCCAGGCCCGCGCCCGCCGACTGGCAGCAGTTAGATAGTTCGATCGATAGTCTCGAAACGGTCGCCCGCCTTGTGGCGAATGTGTGGCCGTGTTTTCCTAGGGTGCACCACCAACGCCCGCCCCGTCGTGAGCGCCAGCGCAAGGTCATTGATTGCGCAACGAGCTGGCACGACTGGGAACCCTGGCTGTGGGGTCACAGGTGCGCCAAGTGTTTAAGTTTTTATGGGGGACACCTCCAAGATAGGCCAGAGGTGGGGTGTAAGGGTCTCTCGAGAAGCCTCACCAAGTTGCTCTCTGAGGCCCCCTCCCACGGCCACAAGTTAGCTAGTACGCAAGTAGGTGATGAGGAGCTGCCCCTGGTGTTTTGTATGCTTTGTGGTAGCTACTCGCAAGAAAAAGTGCGTAATCCGGCAGGGAAGTGTGATCCAAGGGAACGCAGTGCAGGTGCCAGTGTGCTGAGTAGGCTCAAGAGAGGCCTCCACCCTCAGCGCAATGTCGCAGTGTCTTGTGCAGCTCCTGAACGGCCAGCGTCAGGAGCTGCGGTGCGTGCTTTCGCCACCGCTTCGCGGGTTCATCTCATTCCGCCGTGCTCGTCTCATCTGGCGTGTCTGGCCCCTCTGAGGGCTAGGATTGCTGAGAGAGAAACGGGGGTGCGGGTGGACTTCGGGAGCGGTGGGCGGGGAGGACAGCAAGAAGCTCCGAGAGTGCAGGACCCTGCACCAGGAGACGAAGTTTTTGATGCTTTGTTCGAGGCTGAGGAAGCCGAAGCCCGCGTTTTGTTGGAGGGCAGGGAGCCTGGTGCAATGACAGAGGCTCCCGTGCGTGGCACCTCCGCTGTGTCTGACCCCCGTGTGGGGATGAGGGGCATGTCCGCCTTGCCGTTGCGCGAGGAAGATGAAGCCCCTCTGACTCCGAACCGCCTTGTGGACTCGGAGTCGGGGTCAGACTAATGCCTGGGGGACTGGCGAGTGGCCAAGGGACATCCTCCCTCCTTGGGAAATGCGTCCGTGATCGATTGCTGGTCCCTTTGCTGGCGTTGTTCTGAAGGGCTGCCCAGGCAGCCGCTTACAAACAGGTCTGGCCGACGTGGCCAAAAAAAAAGTGTTGGTGTGTGTTGTTGTGTGCTGTTGTGTGTTGTTGTGTGTTGTTGTGTGTTGTTGTGTGTTGTTGTGTGTTGTTGTGTGTTGTTGTGTGTTGGTGTGTGTTGTTGTGTGTTGTTGTGTGTGTTGTTGTGTGTGTTGTTGTGTGTGTTGTTGTGTGTGTTGTTGTGTGTGTTGTTGTGTGTGTGTGTTGTTGTGTGTGTTGTTGTGTGTTGTTGTTGTGTGTTGTTGTTGTGTGTTGTTGTTGTGTGTTGCTGTTGTGTGTTGTTGTTGTGTGTTGTTGTTGTGTGTTGTTGTTGTGTGTTGTTGTTGTGTGTTGTTGTTGTGTGTTGTTGTGTGTGTTGTTGTGTGTGTTGTTGTGTGTGTGTTGTTGTGTGTGTTGTTGTGTGTGTGTTGTTGTGGTGTGTTGTGGTGTGTTGTGGTGTGTTGTTGTGTGTTGTTGTGTGTTGTTGTGTGTTGTTGTGTGTTGGTGTGTGTTGTGTGTGTTGTGTGTTGTTGTGTGTTGTTGTGTGTTGTTGTGTGTTGTTGTGTGTTGTTGTGTGTTGTTGTGTGTTGTTGTGTGTTGTTGTGTGTTGTTGTGTGTTGTTGTGTGTTGTTGTGTGTTGTTGTGTGTTGTTGTGTGTTGTTGTGTGTTGTTGTGTGTTGTTGTGTGTTGTTGTGTGTTGTTGTGTGTTGTTGTGTGTTGTTGTGTGTTGTGTGTGTGTGTGTGTGTGTGTGTGTGTGTGTGTGTTGTGTGTGTGTGGTGTGTGTGTGTGTGTGTGTGTGTTGTGTGTGTGTGTGTGTGTGTGTGTGTGTGTTGTGTGTGTGTGTGTGTGTGTGTGTGTGTGTGGGTGTGTGTGTGTGTGTAAGTTGTGTGTGGGGGGGGGGGGGGGGGGGGGGGCGAAATGGGCGGGGACCGCATGCGAACACAGCCGCTGGGGCCTTCGGTGGAGCTCCCTATGGGGCCACGAAGCGTGTGAGGGGTGTGCCGAAATGGTCGTGCGGAGGGCAGGGGCAGGGATGGAGGGATGGGGAGAGGGAAGGGAGGCGAGGTGAGTGTCGAGGGGCGCTCTGTTCAAAATGCAGACCCAACACCACAGGATCCGTACACGCACATAGGTCAGCATTCGTTTATCATGAGCCTGGTCGGCACCTGCACTACCAAAGAGCGGGCTCGATGGGTCCCGCCTTGCCAGATGACCGACCCTCCAAAACATGCTACGATCTTGCCGACGCGCTGGCCGGCATACAGCCGCCACCCTCAGCGAATTTCACGATGACGGATTACGGCTGAAGCTTCACCCCACAATAGAGGAAAGAGAACTATGCACATACACCGATTATTGCCAGGCCCATCCTGAGCCCAGGATCGGTGCATATGCCCTCTTACCTTGGCCAGGAAGGTACATGCACCGTTCCTGGGCTCAGGCTGGACGTTGTCAGGATCGGTGCATGTGCATAGTTCTCTTCGCCCGACACAAGAAGCCCCCGTGAACTCGCTCTCTCCGACTTGATCGCGCCTCTCCCCACTCCTCTTCCAGTCGGCCGCGGGAAGCCTCGCAAACACCCAGCAGAGAACCATGATCCTCGATCCGGGACCACCAGGATCGTGAGTTACTTATCGGACCCGAGGCCCGCATATTTGGAACCGGTGTCTGCAGGACCCCAGGAGGCAGTGGGCCGCGCCCACTGTGGGCGCGGATATCTTCGAGGACTGTGTATCGAAGGCGTTCAAGCGGGCGCCTGATTTCTTCAATACGGGGTCCCCTGAAGTCCCGACCCCTTACTCCAGTGGCCCATTACTCACTACCCAGTCCCGACCCCTTTCTCCAGTAGACCATTACGGTCCCAAGGCACAGCGACGGCACAAACCTTCTGTCGCGTTTTCTCTTCACTTGCCGTCGCTCGGACGTCCATTCCCCATGCATGTTTCGGTTGCATGCGTTTAGCCGAGCGAGATGATCCAGGATTCTCCTCAGTGGCCTTCGCCGCGACGAAATGCACACGCATCAAGCGACGCCAAGCTGGAACGACCACAGCGTATGTCTGGGTACTCAATCTCCGAGAACTCTGGCGATTCGGCGGCGACGATAGGGGCGAATAGCCCAGGGGCGGGCATTACACGTAATCGCCCGGGAGCCTTCTCGAAGACGTAGATCATCGGGGCACCGGAATACCCGTATTGCTCTCCCCTGGGCTGTTCGCCCCCATCGTCGCCCCGGAGCGACAAACCCGCGGGCGCCGCGCGCCTTGGGGCCACTCTGGCGCCCGCAGCTCCGGCGGCAGCTCCACCGCCTCCGGCCTCGCCCGCTCCCGCCGCAGGCCCAGGCCCCCGAAGAGCTGCCGCTCGGGGGGGCGCTGGTCCAGCCGCGGCGACGGCAGCGGCGACGCGCCGATGCTGGCGGGGCGGGGGCGTCCCTCCGCTGCTGCTCCGGCCTTCGCAGCCTTTCCGCCGATCCTCCTCCTCCCTCTCCTCCTCCTCCTCCTCCGCCTCTTCCGCCTCCTCCTCCACCACCACCTCCACCTCCACCTCCACCTCCACCTCCTCATCCGCCTCCTCTTCCTCCTCCACCTCCACCTCCTCCTCCTCCTCCACCTCCTCCTCCTCCTCGCCTAGGTGGCGACATCCGAACCCCACCCCCGCCATCGACCGATTCTCCTGAATCGACGGGAGGCGGGGTAGGGTTCGGATTTCGCCACATGTTCGACGACTTCCGAATCCTACCCCCGCCGCCCATCGAGTTGCCTGAAGCGTTGATCGGCTCGGCCTCCCGGGTCAAGGCGCAGGCATGGAGGGTTTCCTCAAGCAGAAGCGCTCCAACCAGGACGGGCATGGCGGCACAGCAAAGATTCGAGGCGCATCCGCAGGTGGCTCGCACGACGACCTCGTGCTACGCTTGCTGGCTGCAATTTCGCAACTCACCCTGAAACACGCCCTCGAAATCCGCGAGTAGCAGGCCGCCACTTCCCGTGCCATCGCTATCGCGATGACTGCTCCAGCGGTGCAGGCCATGACGTCTGCCACGGTGCGCGTTGCCGAGGAGCCCCGCGCCGCCACCGCGGGACAAGGACCGGCACTGGTCGCCGAACCGCACGCTCACGCACGGGCGGCATGGGCGGTGAATGCGGTGAGCAGCAACTCCCTGGAGGAGCAGCAGATGAAGTTCCTCTCGGCGCACGCGACTGCTGTGAAGATCCCCGACCACATTCTCCTTCCCATCTACGTACGCAAGGTGGTAATCGACCTCGCCACCAACTCGAATCCTGACTGCTTGGCGCTGGCGGGCGCCGACATCGGCCACCTTCTCAAGCAGGGCGGCAGGGAGAAGCGAGGCAAGGCCCCACGAGGTGGCAACTAACGCTCCCTCCAGACCCTGCACGATCAGCTGAAGGGAAGTTGTCGGCGGCAAGAATGGGATGCATGATTGATGATGTGTAATGGGAGTTTCTGCCATTTGGGTTGCGCATGGCTCTTTACTCTTGGTGGTGGCAGGCGTGCAGCTGATTCGAAGACACGTCAGTGGCGAATATCTAAGCAGTTAGAAGTGGGGAGTGTCTTCACCAACTGAGTTTTTAAGAATGAGCAAGAATCGTCGCAACGATCCGGCCAATGGAAAAAGAGCGAATCCGTTGTAACTCTCTGACCCCCCCTTCCCTCCCCCCTCTCCCCTCCTAGCGGTACAACGGACTCGTCGCCATTGTCTGCCCAGGGCCCACGCCCACAGAGTAGCTGCCCAAGAGAGGTGGTACACGAATCCAAACCTTTATGTAGTTTGAGGATTGTGTCTTCCTCCCACTTGTCCTCCTCGCCCTTTTCCTGTCGGTCGCGTCGTGCCCTTCTCCCACGGCCGCACTTCCCCCTTTAAACGGACTCGAAATTGTGTATTGGTTCGCATGGCCAATCCCCTGATCTCCAGGCCGGTCTCGTTCTGAGACCCGTCCCACGAGGTCCGCTCGCAGGTTGTAGGGGTTTCGTGCCGTAGTTCCGCTGGCGCGCGCGGAGTGTGCCACAATGATGATCAAGAGCATATGCTGAGCACGGGCTACGCTCACCTGGGTAGGTCCCCTTTCACACAATGAGTCCGCTTCAGCTTCCGCTTCCTCCTCCTCCTCCTCCTCCTCCTCCTCCTCCTCGTCTACCTCCTCGTCATCTCCCTCCTCGTCATTACACCTTTACAGACCCTCGAATAGGCAATTTTACTGCTGTGTCTCCTCGTTCCAGATGGGAGCGGTGTACAGGTATGCATTCATCCGCCTAGATCCGCGCGTCCCCCCTCTTTTGCTCCTCCCTTGGACTTTCCGCTCAGGACCTCCCCTCGCTGCGAGCACAAAAGTGTGACGTGCGGTTTCTGGCCAATTTCGGACTCCTTGGGGCCTCGCAGGCTGGAAGCGGCTGGGGGGGGTGAACTGGTTAGGACCCCAGAAATCGGTCAGGAGAGGGTGATGAAGCCAAATCCGTTCAAAATCTGTCCCAGGACCCCTCCCGGGGTCCACCTGGTGCCCTTTCACCCTGGATCAGCTCTTGACGGTCCTGTGGTCGGAAAACGGCCCCAGGAGGCAGACAAAGCAACAAAAAGCCTTCAACTCAGAACCTCGAACATGCCAACCGTTCCTGCTGGCCAGAACCAGTGCTGGGACACCTCAGACCCCCAGTCGGCTCCCGCTCGCATGGCCCCAGGACCGTAGAGAATGGCTCAGGAAGAAAAGCCAGCCCCCAGGAAGTAGCCTGGACATCCGGGGAACACGCGGCTGCAGGCGGTCGCCTGCTCCGCAGAGCGCCGGCGCTCGTCGTCGCCGTCGCCGTCGCCGCTCGTCGTTGCCGTCGTGGGTCGAAGGCCTCGGGTGTTCGTTCAACGAGTGCAGTACCGTCAGGAACTTTTGCTTAGTGTGTCGTCGTGGTGGCCCCAGCGACACGCGATGCCATGCGAGCGGATCGCGTGTCGCTTCGCTCCGCGGGGCGCCGGGGCTCGGAAAAGCTCGGGACGTTGACGCCTGGGGACTGGGACGTAGCGTAGATAGCATGTCGCGCCGAGGCGTGGTGAGCCAGAATCGGAAGAACGTCACGCTATTCCAAAGTTCCCGACCGCAGACCTGGGGTGAAGAAACTGAAGGGGAACTGGGACACACAAATAAATAAACACAAATAAAATTATCCCCCATATTTTCCCATATTTTTTGGGTTTTTGTCTTCCCCCCCACTTCCCATATTTTCCCATATTTTCCTGGGACTCGTCGATTAATTGTGTCTGTGTGTTTTTTCCTCTCCTGAGACCTGGGGTGAAGAAGCGTTCACCTTTCGTGCACCTTGGGGCCCGCGGTGGCAGTCCAGGCTCGTTTGGGGCCCCTTTCGGGCCACTGTCCCACAATCCACTCTCTGATACCCCCACGTTTATTTTTATTTTTATTTTTCTTGCTCTCCCAGTCACGAGCAAATGCGCGCTGGAGCGAGCCCCCCTGCCTGGCCCATGCCAGAGACAAGGCGCTCCACAGCTCGCAGGTCCGACGGGCCACGACACGGAGGAGGAGAAAGGCCAGCGTTGCCCCCCTGTCGGCAGGCATCGGGGGCAGGGAGGGCCGAAAGGCCTAGAGGGAAACACTTTTCTCAACCAAGTGTGTGAGATCGCACGTACATTCAGTCCTCTGGCGCGAGCGCGCCCCAAAGCCAAATTGGCTGCGTAACCACTGTCGGTCACAAAGAGGCGAGGGGAGGAGAGGAAAATGAGAACAGCGGGACCACTTTCAGTGGGACCGACAGGGGCCCCGAAACATCACCGATCCCCCGAGACACCCCGGATATCTCGCAATAAACCGGATCCTCGAGAGACCTTTCCTCACTCTCCCGAGCCAGCTCCTTCCTCGAAGCCGTTCTCGATCGGCACTTCAGGGAGTTGTTGAGAGCCCTTTCGGACAAGTGACCGTCTTCATCGATAAGGCACAAGGTACCTCGGCAGAGGAGGTCGGACAGCGCAAGATTTCCTCGGCCGGGGTCCGCCTTCGTGAGTGCATCGGCCGCCATTCGGCCATGAGGGACCCATCTGATCTGAGAACCTACGGCACACATAGCATCTCTCACCACAGCAAGCTCGATCGACGTGCGACGATCTTGTTTCGAGCCAGCACTGTTCTTACTGAGAGTGTCAAACACACACTTGGCGTCTACAACTGACAGAGAGGAGACGTCATGAGCAAGAGTGCGCTGAGAGCTCAAGACGACAGAAAAAGGTGCCGACGCAAGATGCCAGTCGGGCCTACCCACATCGGCAAAGACCAGATCCCTCCACATCACTTGGAGCCACTGCGCTTCTGCGAGCGCGGCCGACAAACTAAGAGTCTCGGCGGCGCTGGTGGACGACACGACTCTCTTCAGACGGGTCGATCTCCAGGCCAAAAGCGAGGCTCTAGCGCGGCGATTCCGACGAATCTCCGAATCCGCCGCGACGACGAGAAACGCTCCCTGGGCCCCGTTCCGACGAGCCGAACCCGGACCACCAGCATCGGAGATAGTGACAAACGTCAAAGACACCGGGTCCAGGGGCCACACCACTATATGCTGCGAGGCTGTGGCCTTCAGATGTTTCACGATCTTAAGGCACACCAGGGCATCTTCCACGGTGGGGGCTGGAAGTGCGGCTGACTGCAACGAGGCTCCTCCGGACACATCCGGTCTGGTTTCCCGAGCAAGCCATTGGATCTGCGCCACCATGGTGCGATATCCCTTCACTTCTTCGGGGGTCAGGAGGGAGGAGGGTTCCGCTCGTCGGTGTTTCTCGAGCCTCATAGGCGCGAGTTGCTCAAGCACGTATTTCTCCTGGTCGACCAGGATCTTTCCCCCCGAGGCCTGCTTCAGATGGCGCCCAGCGAAATCAGATTCCCCAATCTTCCACTTCCCGAAATTGAAACGAGACTGAAGGCGAGACCTGAGCCCGTCCTTTTCCTCCGGATGGGCAGCTATAATGAGGTCATCGACCTCAATGAGACAAATCGCTCTGGGTGCCCCCGTGCTGGAACGCTTAACCCACAGACAAGGTTCAAGCAACGATTTTTGGAAGCCGTCCGTGACAAGGTAATCGGCAAGGGTCCTATGCCACAATAACGGGGCATCGTTTAGACCGTATACGGGCGCGACGAGCTCGATCAGTTCACCAGGAGCCAGATTCAGACCTTGGCATGGCTCGCAAAAGATCGCGCCTCTAGGGCGCCTGAGGCGGTCTGACTGGCAGAAAGCGTTCTTGGCGTCAGCCACCTCAAGTGTCCAGTTGAGGGAGGAGATCGCCTGGAGGGTCAACATTAAACTCTCTGCCTGTGGGGTCGGGGCGTATACCTGAAGCTCCCCCCCATCTGGGTCGTGATGACCCTGCACACACCACCTAGACTTGGCCTCTGGAGGCACCCCTAAGCCCTCCTGGGGCTTGAACCTGCGAACCATCCTGGATCCCAGAACCCGGTCGGGGCATCGGCGGCGAATCAGCTGAGCCTCGGCAGACGGGACAACCCGCACGGCTCCTGACTGGACGATCGCCTGCCATTCCTTTAAATCGGAAAAATCGAAAAGGCGCCTCTCTTCCAAGGTCAAATTCTTCAAAGAGACCTCCGCGCCTCTGCGTGCCGGAGGTGCGCCACTCGTGCACTTGGAAGGGAGCGAGGCAAAACTAGATGATGCTTCCCAGAAATCCGACTTCCAACCGTACCAGCTGCACAACTCATTCCAGAGGTCGTCGTCCTGAGGATCTTCCCGATCGGCGTACCCAGCAAACCAGCTGGCGTCATCTGGGCCCCTGGAGGCCTCGCCTGGTCCTTGGACCGGCGTCTCGGATCGGACCGGGGACCTGGACCTGACAGTCGGTCTGGGAGCGAGAGGAGCGGAACCGGCAGGCGACGGTCGAGAAGTCCGGTCCCGGAGGATGCACAGCGGAACATCATTGCCCAAAACTCCGCCCGATCTCCGATCGAACTCCTGCACGGCTCGCTGAACGCGTCCTGGACCGCCCGCCTCCTCGACTGGAGTGAGCCTTGGTCTCTGCTGGGGGCGAGGAACCACCTCTGTGGGATCCGTGGGTGGAGGAATGGAGGGTGAGGGCAAGGCAGGAACGACAGGAGGAGGAGAGACAGGAAAGGGAGCAAGGGACCTCGGAAGCGGTGGGGCATCGAGGGCTTGTCTTAGTGCCTCGGGAAGGGGGCCCCACCTAGTAGTTTCGGGAGGCGGTGTCGTTCCAGTCGACGAGGG